TGCGAGTATCTCATCTTACATACTATAAAGCGCTTCGTCTGTCGTTCTGTCCTGTCGTTCTGTCCCTCTGTCTGTCGTTCTGTATGTCTGTCACGAAATTCCCTAGCTCCTCGGGATCCGCCTGGAGGGACCGGGTCAAGTGTGGGATGGGTGGGCAAGGGTCTCACGTAATACAAAACACACATCAGCTAAGCGGAGCCCCGCCCACAGAGGGCGTGGCGTGCGTCGAAATGAATTGTACCGAAGACCAAGATTTCGATTTCAGTGACAAAACGACCTCGAAACTGGGCCAAAAAGTGGGTAAGGTGTGCATTGGTAAGTAACATCGAATTAGGGAGACCCACCCCCGGTGGGCGGGGCGTTCTCTAAAAAAGCAGTGCTTTTGAGTGACCGTGGTCGCCATGTAACGAAAGTCGAACTCCAAGACGTTTATTGAACAAAGGGCGCGAAGCAAATGCACTAAATCAGTTGGACTTATATATGGAGCAAATTTTAATTATGTCTCATATCCCGGAAATAAAAGACAACATTTTTCTCTGAATGTAGCATTTTGACATCAACAAAAGTCTTTATATGATGATCTATCACATATTTGGGTGGAATGACTAATCTCAAGGCTCCTGTGGAATTCTCAAAGGAATTCAATAATGCGAATTGTTCGAAGTTCGTAGAAATGTGGTGACACTCCCACCCCAAAAAGAAGTTTGCCACTAATATCGATTTCAGTGTAGAGTAAGATGAGGGTTAACTATTTTTTCTTTTTGATTACGATTTGTTGTGATTTTCTTCTGAAAGCTAAACGAAGTAAAGATACGATGATAGGCGAAGTAACAATTAGTATGAGTATGAGCTTCCAATTTTTCAACCATGTCCAAATGGTGGCCATTTTGCCAATAATTGAGTTTCCGATGTCGCGGGTGAACGATACGATTCCTTTTTCTTCCGATCGGCGATGTTTTCCTTGTGAGACATCATTCTGGAGGCGTGGCTCGGTGACGAATTGCAATTGACCGTGTACGTCGAAAAAGGTCTCTCCTGCTGGACACTTCACGCTGCAATTAGTATTGATATAGCTTTTTTGAAAATGAAAGGTGAGCTTTGAAATATGACCTCCCGGTTTACAGACTGCGATTTGGTTTTGATTTTCACATTTTATCGTAGCTATTTCTTCTGTGACTGAGGAGGTACACGAGATTTCAATATTGGCTCCGGTGTAACATGAGTAGCATCCATGTAGGGATCCTGCTTCAACCGTACATGTGTTCTGCGATCGTCTCGTGTAGATTTGCAGGTTACTAATGGATAGCTGGATAGAAATGCTTGTCCCAGCTGATGTTTTTGCGATGATATTGTTGTTCTCGTTGAGTATGATGATGTTGTCGCTTGACAGTGGAAGAGTACGTGATGCGTTGGTGAAGTAGCTGGTTATGTCTCCCTTTGGACATTCGCAATGGGCTTCGTATACCGTTGTTGAACATTGGCACGATGTTGGAGAATATCGACATGTGTTGAATTTCTTTGCGTCTTCCAACGTATCACATTGCAGTTGTCCTATAGAATAGGGTAGGAGTTGGTTAGCCGGTGAAGGATCCACGATGGCGGTCTTTTCCCCGTTGCTGACGAAGAAGTTTCCGAGTATTGGGAAATTTGGTGATGCAGTTGCGGTTAATGCGATTTGCAATTGATTCCATCGATATGGTGTGGCTGGTTGAAGAACAAAGTCCTGATGTTTTTCTTGCTCCATCATATTGGTCGTTATGGTTCCTTGTACGGTAATGGGCCATGACGGGCAACTGAAGACTCGGTATATGTCAGCAGATTGGGGCTCTGCGTAATGACGATAAAATATGCACGTCTCTGTGCATCTGAAGCACCAGTCGCACCAGAAACACTTACAGCTAGGAGAACAATATGTGAAGCCTGGTCTTCTATTGGCGTAGTAACTAAGTTCAGGAATTTTTGACGAAGTAGTCGTTCCTTTACATGGTTCTCCTGTACAGCTCTTTGTATTCCAGCATTGGTGGTTGGATTCGGTATGAAAGCTATGATCACGCGTGTAGTATTGAGTCTTTTGTTGACAATGATAAGCGACGTTGTGAAGACGTATTGATATTGTTCCTGCTGGCTGTTCCTTAGAGTCCCGTAGTAGTAGACACAACTCCTGTCCTATGGGTTGAAGATGCAAGTTTACTACATGATCCACCGTGCATGTTTCGATAGTGCCGTTGAATTCGCAATTATGGGACGTTGTAGTGAAGCTGACGACGTCGGAGCAAGTGTAGCATAGTCGTACGGCCATGAGAGTTATTGGAAGTATGCGCGTGTACCGTTCCGTTCTTCTTTTTGCATATGACGGGAATTTCGGAATTGTGTACTTCCGTCGACGGCATCTTATGATGTTGAAGATCGTTATGATCGGTTTCTTCAACACTCGAAATATTTTGGTAATTATCCACCAAAGACTCTTGAATAGTGGTGATAATAGCCTGCAGAAGATGAGCGTCACCAAGGAAGCGAAGACGATTGTAATAATTTGGGTGGTGGTCCAACATTGATAATTGTAGAGGTGTTCCCAACACATGATGCAGTCTATCACCTCACATATTGGTTTCCCAGTGCACTTGAGCGTGTGGAAGAATTTTCTGGTTCCTTCTTTCCATGCTTGTATTGTTGTCGTGTAGTCGAAAATAACGATAGAGGTTGGAAGGAGGATCGTTGTTGTAGATTCGTAGTCGGATACATACACGCAAACGTGGGCGCTGCATACTTCGATCATGTTGAATTTTTCAGTCGTGTCGATTGATATGCCTCCTGTGGTGCATCGAGGAATAGTAAAGTGGAGTTCGGACTCGTTTGATGGGAGGGGTGCGTAGGGGTAGTATTGTCGTGTTGTTGTGCCCCAAGCGTGGATGATGACTGAATTATTTTTGAACTCGTATGTGGTTACCGGAGTAGAATACGTGCAGAAGTGAGTGGCTTTGTCAGCTTCAACACAGGAGTGCCGACGGCAGAACGCGGATGTCCCTGAAGTAGCCATAGGTGGGTAGTGCGAGTATTCCTTTCCGTCTTTATTGAAGCAGTAATAGTCGTCTTTGTGGAGGAATTCGGCCGTTTTGAGGTGCAGTTCCGGCACGAGAACAAGCGTGCTGTCGTATAGCTGAATCTGATAGAAAACTCCAATCTTCTTGTGCTTCGAACAGTGTTCAGCTGGTGTGAAGGAGCATACTTGTTTCGGAATAAAGTGGGCGATTTCATATGGTACATTCCCGAAGGTGGACATTTTTGTTAATCTTCCGTTGTATGGGCTGCACAAGGTGGTCCACGAAGGGCATTTGCAGGTGTTTCCGCAATATCCTGTATTCGGTGTCTGTGGAATGGGAAGTCGAATGTGTCCCAGAGGACAAGTGAGCTGGATCCAGCATAGCGATGATCTTCCGTCTTCCGTGGTAGCAACAGCAACTGCTATGCCTTTTGAAGTGCATTGATCGGCATAAACAAAATTTCTTATCGTTTGCTGTTGAGAGGAGCAACGGGTGTTCGGTGGAGTATACGAAATAATATCGGCTGATACTGCTGAAAGTGCGAAGATTTGAAGGATTCCCAAAATGGACAGCAGAACGTTCCGTTTGATGCTTCTTGTGATCATTGGGTGAGTCCTTCGTTTATTGTCTGTAGATTCTCCCTTGTTTGATGATTGGGCTTGTCCCTTTTCTTCATTAGTCGATTTTGGTTTTGACGATGGGAGTTCCAATGGGTATAAGAGGTTGAGAGGGCGTGTGATGATCTGCCCATTGGGTAATTGCAGTGTGGCACTGTGTTCGGAGCGATCGATAATCCTTGCAAGTTTCCACTGACCGCGAGGTTTTGCTGAATCGTGAACTATGACGATGTGATCTTCTTGTGGACTTTCATGAGCCAGTAAATGCGGCTGTTTATGTTCGAATCGAGATTCTTCTCTCATACTGGTGAGGTATTCCTTGTGCCATCTTTTCCAAAACTCATTAAGCAGATTGAGAGTGAACTTCCATCGTTCCTCTAAATCGTCGGTATGTGTTCCGATTTTCCATTCATCGTCTGAATCGTCTTCGTTGCATGTTCGAGGTGTTCCTACTAGTGCAAGTGGTCGAAGAAAATCTATTGGTCTGAGGGGGTATCCGCAGTCTATATCACTGTACACGTAAGTCAGAGGGCGGCTATTGACGATTGCTTCACATTCTTTCGCTAGTGTTATGAATTCATTGAAGTCGATTTTCCGATTTTTTATGGCAGCCTTGAAGGAGCTTTTAAAGATCTTGATCATCCGTTCGTACACGCCACCTTGCCACGGTGCAAAAGCTGGGATGACCTTGAAACGGATATTGTGCTGAGAACAGTAGTCCAATAAGTCGCGATTGTCTTCCTCGGAAACTGGAGTAAATAGTTTCGCAACCGATACGAAAGCTGGTGCGTTGTCGGTGATGATCCATCGTGGGCATCCGATACATGAAATGAATCTCCGAAGAATATTCAGGAAGCATTGTGCGCTTAGGCTTGTCGCTACATCGATGTAGATGGCACGTGTGTTTAAACATGTGAAAAGCGTTATCCATACTTTGATTTCCTCAGTATTGAATGTCGTGCGAAACGGTCCAGCGTAGTCTATGCCACAGTTGTAGAACGGATATGCTGGTTTATTTACTCGTTCTGGAGGATGTTGTGGGAAAGGTGGCAAGCTGAATGGATTTGCTTTTTCTCTTTTGCAATACATGCAAAACTTGCCGATGACTCGTTTCACTTCACTTCTTCCTTGAGGTATCCAGACGCCTTGGCGCAAGGTGGTAAGAGTTTGAGCTACTCCTATATGATAGTTTTCTTCATGGATGTGTAGAATGTAGAGAGTTGTGATCCAATTATGACGTGGTAGGATGACAGGGTTAGTCGTATCGAAAGACAGAGTAGAGTTGAGGATTCTGCCTCTTGATCTCCATATTTTCTCTTGATCGTCGAAATATGCTCGTAGATTTTTCCTCTGTTCTTCCGGCAATGGATTCTGAGACTGTGATTGTCTAAACAGCATTATCGTTGCCATCTTGTTGTAATCTGGAGTCTGAAGTCGAATCCCCTTTTTTCTTTTGATACGGAATCTAATGTTGAAGAGAAAGGTTAACACGGCAATCGCAATTCGTAATAGCTTCTTCCAGTTGCTGAATCTTGACGTGTTCTCAAAGAGAATATAAGAATCGTGCTTTTGCTCACTTTCATTGACAGCGTAGTTTACGGATTCGTTCAATTCACTTTGATCTTCGCTGATGTCCTTGGGCCAATGCTCGCTTTCATGCTTCAGGAAGGAAGGACCATTCCACCAGAGATCGTTTTCCAGAAGAGCTGCAATAGAGGTTCCTCTGCTCCCGATATCTGCTGGATTTGATTCTGATGGAACATGTCGTAAAGTTGCGTCTGGTGCGTTGTTTGTGATCGCTTTGACGCGGTTCTGAATGAAGATGGGGAGTCGTCCTTTTGTTTTGACCCATTTCAGCGCGGATTTGGAGTCGGACCAGATATACTGCTGACCGATGTTCAGATTTGTTTCTTTCATGATATGTCGCATGAGAGCCGCTCCGAGTGATATTGCACTAAGTTCGAGGCGTGGAATCGTAACTGTGTTGCGAAGGGGAGATAATCGCGTGCGGCTCATAAGAAAGCGAACGTCTGTGTTGTCATTCGTGGATGCTCGTAGATACGCCACAGCACAATACGCTGTTTGAGATGCGTCCGTGAAGATATGAAGTTCAAATGTTGATGACGTCTGCGAGTGCTGTAGCACTCTTCGAGGGATTTCCAGGGCGGGATAATTCCAAGTCTTTACGATGTTGTTCCATTCTTGCTGCTGAGGAATTGGTAGAATTTCGTCCCATTGATGATTTTCCTTCCACAAGCTTTGAAGGAAAATTTTTGCGGTGACTGTCACTGGAGAGATAATTCCTAATGGGTCGAAGATCGAAGCTACCTTTTTGAGCACGTTTCGTTTTGTTGGTTTGTTCGCTTCAGCATCAACAGTGGGTAGAGTAATAAGCAGTTTGTCAGTTTTTACCTTCCACTGTATTCCAAGAAGTTTGGTTGCCTCGTCGATAGGAGAGTTTTCGTGCTGGCTGATGGTGGCATTGATTTCTTCATCTGATGAAATCCACTCCCTTACGTTCATTCCTGCCATCCGGAATAACTTCTTCGTTTGCAAGTATTTCTCTTCCGCTTGCTTCTTCGTTTCTGCAGACAAAAAGATGTTGTCCACATAGCAAGAAGTAAGTATCTCTTGAGCGAGTGGAGTTGCTGTCTTGGTGAGATGGAGATGGATGGTAGCTGCGAGTATGAAAGCGCTACATATTAGTCCAAAAGGAATGCGCAGGAAATTGAGCGTCAACAAGTTCTCGGGTGTCGGAGGTTTCTTGTAATCTTTTAGCCAAAGAAATTTTGTGAATCGTCGATCGCATTCTTCCAGTCCTACCATGTGGTACGCTTTTTCGATATCTCCTATCAGGAGGATGGTTGTAAGGCGAATCCGTAGTAGTATGCCACTTAGATCAGGAAGCAAAACTGGGCCTCGGAACAAGCAGTCGTTTAGGCTTGGTGAGTCGTTGATTTTAGCGCTGCCGTTGTAGACTAACCGGATTTTTGTAGTCTTTTTCGACATATTGATCACAGCATGATGAGACAGGTGAGTGCCGGGTGTATTGACCATTGATGTTGGCGTTTCTCCTACGATACCTCTTTGTAGCTGTTCCTGAATTATATTGTCGTACTTCTGGAGATGGTCAGGATTTTTCGCAAGAGTTTTCCAATTTGAGCGTAAACACGCGAGACTGTGGCCGTAATTTTCTGGAACAGGAGGCGGTTCTGATTTGAAAGGGAGACGCGCGTAGTAGCGGTGCTCTTCTTCATCATATCGTGTGGTTTTGTTGAAAAAGTCTAGGCAAACAACATCATCATTAGAACTGGCCTCTTCAGATGTTCCAAGCGATTCGCATGTCCAAAATCTTTGAACTATATCGTCGAGACTTTCTTTGTTGAGAGGATGATCATAGTCGTCTCGTACTGCCATGTTGATGGTGCGCGTAGATATCTTCTTTCCTGTGATTATCTTCCCAAGACGGGTGTTCAATATATAGTAGCCGGTTGAAAGCTTCGTTGAGTAGAACTTGGATGAAAGAACTAACTGCCAAAAGTGATCCATTCCAATAAGGATACCTGTACTGGACGGCTTTATAGGTAGTGATCCATGCTCTTGAAGTTCAGCGAGTGCAGTGTGAAGGTTATATGGTATCATCAGCGCCTTGGTAAGAAGTGGAAGAGACTGAACCTGTAATGAATATAAGGCTCCATCTGGTAATAATATGCTGACGTTATGCATTTTCGACGGCATCGTTGTCGGCTGTGATGATGCAAACGTATGGAGGACGATGTCGCTGTCGCTAGTGTGGTTGAGCTGGAGTTGATCGGCCACTTCGGTTGTTATATATGAGTGCGACGATCCACTATCCAGGAATGCGATGGTGTTCAATTGCTTAGATGGTTCTTCCGGGTTTACGAGAGTGACTTGTGCGCACATCAGAAGGATTTGTTCGGCGTTTTCTGGGTGGGAATCGTTGGATTTTTCCGAGCTGTTGTTTGGCAGTGGATGAGCGATAGCAGAACACGTGAGATCTGCTGGTCGGTTTGTTCCGTTCTCTTCGTCGTTCTCTACGCTGCTTTTGTGTTCGATAGACGTGTCGGAGTAATTGACTTGCCTGGAGATATGCTGAGGTTGATCCTTGCGTTGAGTACGATGAAATTGGTGAGAGCTGCCATGGTGGATGCGCTGCGTTTCTTCGTTGATACGATTAGATGACTTCCTTGCAAACACGGGATTTTGCTGTTTGAGAAGACTCTCACTGTTCTTGTTCCCAGGTAGGGCGCTCCGTACATTCCTTGACTTGAAGCATAGTGCAGGGTGATGATGATATTTGCAGATGTAGCAAGGGGGTCTCCTGCAAGATGTAGTTCTGTGACCAGCTCTCAAGCATTTGAGGCACAATTTGTTTTGTCTGGCGCGATTTCTTCTTTCCTCAGCTGTAACGAACGTCTTGCATTGAAACTCGTAGTGATTAGTCCTTGAACAAAATGGGCACGGTGGTCGACAGCTTGCGGCATCACTTTGTAGTCGTGGTTTTTCCATTTGGTGTGGAGGTGCATGTCCTCGTTTTTCGGAGACGTAGAATGTGGAGTGACTGGAGTTGGAAGATTGTTCAACCTGCCGCAGTGTAGTCTCTTTCTTAACGATGTCCGATAGAAGCATCATCAGTTCGTTGGGTGTGACGTTTCTTTGACTTCCAATTTTGTCGTAAATTTTAGCCTTAACGAATCTTGGTAGCTTGTTGTATAGAAGAGCTCCTAATCCATATTCTGGAGAGCTGGGTGTCATAGTCGTGTATTGTCGAACTAAGCGTAGCATCTTGAGGTATAGGTCTTGAAGTTGTTTTCCTTCAGGATCACACTGTGGTAAAGCCGAAAGTTGAGTGTAGATGATGTGTCGAATAGCGGACGGATTGTTGTAGTTCAAATGTAGTATATCGACCGCAGTTTCGTAATCCTGGTCTGTGATCGGAAGACCTTCTACGCATTGAAGTGCACGTCCTCTTAAACAGCTCTTGAGCAGTGAAAATTTAGTTGCTCCTGTAAGCGACGACTTCGAGTGAACGAGAGTGTTGAATCTGGACCAAAATTCTGGAAATTCGATGAGATTTCCCGAAAATGATGGGAGATCCAAACGTGAGAGTAGCGACGCATCAAAGTAGTTGAAATTGGAGCTCTCTTGAAATCCTTGTTGTGCATGAGGCAAGGTGAAGAAGTTCTGTTGATCGGAGGCGTACCCATTCGTGATGTTGTTCTGGGTGCGGCAGTCTCTCCTGTCTTCGCAGTGAACAGTGGTGTGTCGTTGACTGGATTCTTGTACCACCTCGGTTTCGTATTTGATTCCTCTTTTCTCCATATCTTCACGGAGAATTGCTTCGTTGGAGTCGAGTTTTTCAAGAGTAGCGATGGCTTTGCTAATATCTTCCCTGTAGTCTCCATACTTTTCTATGAAGTTGTGAAAATTCTGAACCTCGTCTTGGTCTTGAGTCATCAAGTTGCTCCATTCGTCATTGAGTTGTTCGAGCCTCGTGAGTTTCGACAGAATTGCATCTCGATGTGCGTTCTGTGCTTCCACGTAGTCGAGCAAGGAGTCGTTTGAGCAGGAGGCAACGAAGTCGGATAGATTTTCGTGTAGATCTTCTTCACAGTGGGTGATGGCACGTGCGAGAAGTTTGCGAAGAGCTCCTATTTGACGGCGGATCGGTGCGCTCATGGTTGATCACGAATGAAGATTGACATGTGGAGCATTACGTTTCAAAAGTCGTTGAACGTAGTTGTCGAAGTGATGTTTTGTCGAGGTTACTGGAGACTATTCTGACGATTTGTAGAGAATTCTGGCGATTTGCGAAGGCTGCGTGTTCCTGGACGTTTTGAGACGTGGGTGTCAGAAGGTTGGGCAAAAGCCTCGAGGGAAATGGGACGTTGGTACGGTTGTAGGCGTTGATGAGGGGGGATGGTGGGGAGGGGAGGGGGGGGGGAGTCGTAAGGTCGTACGTTAACGATGGTGGAGAGGTTGTCTTCTCTGGCGTCGTCGGAACTTCACTTGATGAAGTGAAGTTTACTTCGTGTCGTACGTCGAAGGAGGGCAGGCCGTTTCAGTTTTCCGTGGTCGCCATGTAACGAAAGTCGAACTCCAAGACGTTTATTGAACAAAGGGCGCGAAGCAAATGCACTAAATCAGTTGGACTTATATATGGAGCAAATTTTAATTATGTCTCATATCCCGGAAATAAAAGACAACATTTTTCTCTGAATGTAGCATTTTGACATCAACAAAAGTCTTTATATGATGATCTATCACATATTTGGGTGGAATGACTAATCTCAAGGCTCCTGTGGAATTCTCAAAGGAATTCAATAATGCGAATTGTTCGAAGTTCGTAGAAATGTGGTGACAGTAGTTGTGGTATCCGATTAGATCGCTTGTCTTGATTGCGCAGGTGCTGTTAGAATGGAAA